TGTAAAAATTGAGTCAAAAAAAAAATGATTTTTTTTTTTTGTTGTTGTTGTATTCAGGAAGGGGAAAGAAGGGGAAGAAAAAAAAAGGATTAAGCTAAGCTCTTAAAAATAGTTTTTTTTTTTTTTTTTGCCTAACTTGTAGGAAAACAAATTTAAATTTGCTGTTGATTGATCTAATTTGTTGATTTCTTTAGTTGATCAACGATAAAAAGAAACAAAAAACAGCAACAATAGCAAAAGAAGAAAAAGAAGAAGAAGTAAGAAAGGAACAAGAAGAAAATGAAGGAGAAGAAGAGCTGTTGCTCTTTTCTGTTTTAACTTCTTTACAATAAGAGTAATAAAGCCAATACAAATAGTTTTTTATGTTTTATAAGTAAAAAAAAAAAAGTTTGAAGTATTATAAAGTTAATAATAGTTTAGAAAAAACTTTAATTTGAAAGTTGAAATTAATTGGCTTTTAGTTATATACAATAATTTTTGCTTTTCTAATTACTATCTTATCATTCTTTTTTTTTTACGCTAAAAAATTCTCGTCGGATAATAAAAATTTTTTTTTTTGGATAACTGAATAAAAAAAAATTTTTGCTTATTTTGGGATTTACACAACCGTAACAATTCATTTATTATTTAACCAATTTTCAGCATAATATCTGGCAACTTCTATTGGAAATGGTACAACAATTGTACGATTATGTTCAGCGGCAACATTTGTTAGTGTTTGCAGATAACGTAACTGCAACGATACTTTACTGTCGGCAATCACTGATGCTGCTTCAGCCAAGTTTCTGCAACAGATGATAAGAACAGTTAATGAATTACTTTCAGATACCAAATGGAATAAAATAGGATAGAAAAAAAAAGCAACAACAACAACAACAACTACAACAACGACAACAACAACAGATCGGTCATCTATCATTGAACATATGACTAAACAACCAAAAAATGCAATAAGCTTACTTTGAAGCATTTTTTTCACCATATGCATGGATGACAAGTGCTCGAGCATCTCGAGCTGCTTCTGCTTCAGCGGCCATTGAACGCATTAGCTGATGCGGTAATCGTATATCTTTGATCTCCACACGTTCCACTTTAACACCCCATGGATCAGTACCTTCAGCTAATGCCTGTTCTATTACCTTAATAATTCTACTTTTAGCATCAGTTTTTCCAATTTTATATTTTTTAGTTTAAATAA